TCTTAAATTGGATATGATGTTTAAACTATTAAGAGAGAAATTGAATAATTAAAAGATATGTATATTATTCTCGATCATACACGTACTGTTATGATGGTTGTTACTGATGGATCATTACCATCTAATGTTGGTGGAGGTTCTAATATTAGAAATATTATCAGAAGAGTCTTTGCTGTCTTAAAAAAAAATAATTGGTGGGATAAATTAGGAATGGATGGATTATTATAATTATTTTAAGAACATAAAAATGATTTGGCTAAACTCTATGGACCATTTGGAGAATATAAGAGTTTTGATCAAATCATTAAATAAGAATATGAAAGATGGGCTAAAACTGATGATGATAAGAAGGTTAAATTAGAAAAGTTATTAAAATAAAAGAATAATTAATTAAGTATTGATGATTGGATCTTTGCTATGAGTACTCATGGTATACCTGCTGATACTATTAGTTAAATCAGTAAATTACCTATCCCTGGTAATTTGTATGCTGAATTAGCAGATAGAGCAGCCAGAATTACTAAAGCACCTGAAGCTATTCTTTACAATACTGTTCATCTACCTGAAACAACCAATTTGTATTATCAAACACCTAAAGATGGTAAATTCTAAGCTAAAATTGTTACAATCTTTAATAATGTTTAATAATAGAATCTTCCAAACATTGTAATTTTAAACTAATCTGCCTTTTATCCATTTGGTGGTGGTTAAGATTATGATAAAGGTTGGTTAACTATTTCAGGAGAAAGATATTCAGTTATCAATGTCTAAAAAGTAGGAAAGGTTGTATTGCATATATTAGAAAAACCTTTACCAAATGCTGTTGATACATATGTTGGTTAAGAAGTGTAAGCTGAAATTGATTTGGATAGAAGAACAATCTTGAGAAATCATCATACAGCTACTCATATTGTATTTGCAGCATGTAGAAGAGTGCTTGGTCCACATGTTTGGTAAAATGGTGCACATAAAAGCGTAAATAATGCACATCTCGATATAACTCATTTTGCACCTTTGACAAAAGAATAAGAGTAAGCAATAGAGAATGAAGTTAATAAGATTATTTTATCTGCAAAACAAATTAATAAAGGATTTATGAATAAGGCAGATGCAGAAAAAGAATATGGATTCAGATTATATCAAGGTGGTATTGTACCAGGAAATGAATTAAGAGTAGTAAATATAGATGGAGTAGATGTTGAAGCTTGTTGTGGTACCCATTGTGATAGCACATCAGAAGTAGGATGGGTGAGAATTTTGAAAACTTAGAAATTGTAAGATGGTGTAGTGAGATTGTATTATGTTGCAGGAGTTAAAACTATAGAGGTTCTTAATTCTGAGGGAGAGATGATTAATTAATTAGTAAAGTTATGGTCAATTTCTAAAAATTAATTAGTTGAAGAGGGCAGTAAGATTTTCTAAGAGAAAAAGCATTTTGAATCTGCATATAATGTATAATATGATATTATAATAATAATAGTAAATTAAGGCAGAGTTAATAAAATCATAAATGAAATATGTTATTGATGGTCCAAATTAGAGAACAATGATCAATTCAAATGAACCAAATCCAACTGCTTATTTCAGTGAGATTGGAAAGTATATCTAATAACTCAAAGACTCAAAGAAAGGGTTGGTGTTTGTTGCAGAAACTTTCATTTATGGTGCTTTTGGAGAATCTAATTTTAATGTAGAAGAATTAAGCAAATAAATTGAAGAGGAAGGATCATAATTGAAAGTGAATAAACAGAATAAGATAAGTGTTAAAGATGGAAAGGTATTCAATCATATTTAAATTCTAGAAAACTATTCAAGTTAATGATGTTTTAACATTCTCCATCTTAGGTAAATTCAATAAAAACAAAGCATCAAAATATCTAAAGGAGCAAGGTTTTGCTTAATTTTGAGATAATATATACAAAAAATAAATATAATCTTACATAATTATCTTCAGATTTAACATCATTTTGAATGTTTGAATCATTAACATTAGATTATTTATAAATATGGATAAATTCTAATTGGATTATCAAAGATCTGGAATTCAAGAATAAATAAAGAAAGGTATTTCTAAGTCTATTTAGATTGAGTAATAATTGTGTAAAAATATTCTTTCCTTCAATTAAAGATGAAAATGCTAAATAAATTTCAACTTTATTCTCAAAGAAATTTGTTAGAATAGCATATTTCTAATAAATGATTAGGTTTCTAAAATTGATTCTTTGATTAAGTAAGTTAAACTTGAATAAATAGTGTTTGTTAGTATAAATATATTTTATGAATAGACATGACAACTCAGATAGATTAAAGACCTTTTAAATCAAACAAAATTAATATACAATCGATTATTTAATAGAAAGTGAATGATTGTTTAAGATACATTAGAAAATAAATACCTGAATAGGTTTGGACATAAATAGAAATAGAAATAGAGTACTTTAAATAGATGATTTGATAAGATCTTATTAAACAATCATTAAGAAAAGAGAGATTTAGATTAATGTAAGAATAAGATATTTGTAAAGTATAAAAAAAATATGTTGATATTAAAAATATATATATATTATTTTTTTTGTTGTCTTTTAAAACGAATTCATTTGTTTAATGCTGGTAATTGGATTTTCTGCTTTTTGCTATAATCTGTTTTTTCAGCTGTATTGAGATCAAGTGACATGATTTTCAATGCCATAGATTTTTCATAATTATCCTAAACTTAACCTGGATTAGGACGAGTCAATAAATGATTTAAGCTTAAATAGTTATTAATGGTTACGTGCTTTTAGACCATTTTTCTTGATATGTAGTTGTCCAATGTTAAGATGTAGCTAAATCAGATTATCTCATCTAAATAATATATTAAGAGTAATACTTTGAGTTCATAATCAGTTTGATTTAATCGATTAATGAAGGATTATTCATATTTGTATTTAAGATCTCTATTTTATACAGTGATTTTAATGAATCCAAAATCAATATTTAAATTATGTCCTAATCTAGTTAGATCATGTATGGCTTTAATTAATGAATTGTGTATAGATTGTACAACATCTTTGCCTAAATAACTGATATATAAATGATGATTATGATTACCAAGATGCAGCAATAGGTCCAGCATTGCAGAAGTTCATTCCAAAGCCTTTTTAATAAATGGAATGTTAACTGAGAGGTTTAGTAATTTCCTCTTTTCCAGGATAACGAGCCAAGAAATATTGAAAAGAATTGTCAGGAACGAAACATGGTCTTGATTGTATGAAAATATAGAAATATACCTAATTTAATGTATATGTTTTCTTTCTGCTCTTTGAATTCCTAAATCTTGAGTCATATTAAATCCTGAGTGTTAGAGTGGTTTAACATAATCTGAATTAACTTCCATAGTAAATGCTCCTAATTCTTTCATATTGACACCCTTATAATAATGTAGTAGTAGTAATATTACATTTCCGTTAACCATTTTCTCTTTGATATACTCTGCAGTAGCCTTGACTACAATGTGAAATTAAGCCTTGGCTTCAAGAGGTTTATATGAGGCAATTGTTCTTGGTTAAGATTCTTGGTGTTTGCCTGGATAGTTTTGACTATGTCCAAGTATCCTTTGATTGTAATAACTCATAAATACCAATTGTATATGTCATCAAGGTTCATGAAACTGATTTTATTTTTAATATAATATTAATAATCATAAGAAATAATCTGGTACTCTTTTTGGAACTGATTCATTTTCTGATCTAGGAGCAGGATCAAATTGAATACTATAAATTGTTATTAAGAATAATATACAATGTTTATCGTAGATTTTCATCAACTTCCATTATTCCTGCTTGATTACCACATCTATAACAATAATTTGGTGCAGAGAATATAGTCACAACATTTCTGTCATGGGCAAGTGAATAACCCTATAATATACATATATATATAATTAATACATCCATAACTAATTGATGTGCTCTAGCAATCATTTTTAATTTATTATTATGATTGAATTGTTCAGAGATGTCTTATCCAAAAGTATATCCAGCACCTCTTGGAGATATTCCCCAACCAGATCTATCATCAGGATCACTCCATAATAAATCACACATTGGTCCTTCATGAGGCACCTCTTATACTCTATCTAACTATCTTATATGATCCAAAGTATCTATTGATGGAGATATACCACCATGTAAACAAAAAAACTTAATTTATGCTAAAAATATATATACTTGAGATTCAACTACTGCAGTTAAAGGTAAGTAATCAAATAATTCGGTGAAATATTTCCATACATTACTATTTCCATATTTCCTAGAACATTCATCATAGAAACCATAAACTTATGTTATTTATCTAGATTCATGATTTCCTCTTAATATTGTTATTCTATCTCGATGGCGAATCTTACATTAAACTATTCATTACTTTCAATAAAACTAAAAGTGTTACACATTCTACGGAATGATGTCCTCTATCTACATAATCACCCATAAATAAATAATTAGTATCCTAAATTCATATTTATATTTATTACAGGTGCTTTACCACCTATTTTAAATAATTCCATCAAATCATGGAATTGACCATGAATGTCACCACATATAATCACTGGAGCTCGAACTGGTTACACATTTGATTCTTCAATTAAAATTTCTTTTGCCTATTAATTAAATTATTAAAATTTAAACCTTTTCACATAATAGTTTTACATCTTATTCTGGAAGAGGTTTGCATTGATATAAATTTTATATCTAATTATCTATATTATTAGCTTCAAGCATTGTTATTTTAGAAGCCATTTTAATTTAATTTTTGAATCAACTGGAGAATATTTAAGTATTTTCAATTAATTATAAAAGAAATTTTATATTAATATTCAGAATTACACAGAGTTATTTATTTTTTTATATATAATTAGATGGCAAGGTTTAATGTAATTCATATTCATAAATATATAGAAATGGAAATAGTTTGTACCATAACCATAAGAATAATAACCAAGTGAAGAAGCAAAACCAACTCCTAATAAGAGAGGAATGAAATGCTCTGATACATAAGCATTTTAGGTGTCTACTCATGATAATAATTATAAAGATGCAATTGACATAGAAATAAGTGAAGATTTAATTGCTACATTACCATTTTATTTAGAGATAAGTGTTAAAGATTAGCCAATAAAATTTATTATATAAGTGACTTAAGCAAATGTTGTAAAGACTCAAAGTTAGCGGATTAGTGTATTAAAAACAATTACTGATTTATATAAAGTAGATTATGATGTAAATATGCGATTTTAAGCATATTTTAGATTTGTTAACGAATAAGAAAAGACTTATCAATTATCATTTGTAGAAATATTAGTAAAAGAACATTTTCTTTCAAGAAGAGATATGGTGTAAATAAATTAAAAGTTATTGAAAACAACATGCTACACAAAGAAGAATGTTATAATTTAATATGCTGGAGATTTTCTTAAAGCTTCAATCTAAATATCTTAATTGATGATGAGGGACATTAATAGTTAGGAATATGCATACACAGGAATAATAACAGAAGAAACCAATATTGTATATAGAAGTTTAGAATCAAAGATGGCTATCTTGATTGAATTATCATAAGAGACTTTTAAAGATGATGCTATAGGTGAGATAACATTGGAGAGCATACAAAAATTCTTAAAAGTATACTATCTAAGAAATCAATCATTGATGACAAATCATAAATTAGAAATAATTTTATATGCAAGAATATATTTCCCTGAAATTAAGACATTAAATGAGTTGTATAATTAATTGACAAACAAAATCTATTAAGATTAAACATTTCCTCCTCATGCATAATTAGATCATTTTGGAAATGTTTGTATAGATATATACAAGAAGGTACCTGAAAGAAAGGCTTTGCGTTAATTTGATTAATTAGCATAGACTGTAATTTAAACAATTTAAGAATTGACTGCATGGATCAATGTTAAAACAATAACTAATTATCATTCTCTTTTTGTGAAGGATTACTTAAAGAAGAAACCTGATTTTAAATGTGTTCAATCAGTTAGAGGAGAATTGAGCAGTTCTAAGTATTGTAATCTTTTAGAAGCAATTACATTAGTTACATAAAATTTTAGATTAGATCATACTACAAGATCTTTAAAAAACTCAGGTCATTTCTTATTAATATTGTCTCCTGGAAATGGATATTACTTTGGAGATTTGAAAACATATAAAATTGCTAAGAAGAATGCACTCAATAATAATATTGTTTGTATGCTAAATTGTTTTGGTCGTATTCCAAATATTACAGGACCAATATTCTATTTGAGAGAACCAAATCTACCTGAAGAAAGTAATCCAACTTCACATTTAAGTCAATTATAATAGTAATATTTTAAATAGACGACAACGTATCTTTTTTAAGATAAATATTAATATAAGTATTAAGATAGGAATTCAAAAATAAATGGAAATGAAGAAGTTTAATCATGTTTAAGACATGCTTATTGGATTTAAATTATTAAATACAATGATGAATTTCTCAGATCTTTTTTTATGTTATATGATAGATAAAATTAAAATGATTTACTTCCATTTTGTTTTAAAAAGTAGAAATTTATTTCATATTCTTAAATGGATTTTACATTATTAAGTTATTAAGAATAGAAAGAGAAAGTATATTAGATGGAAGATGTTTAAAAATATGATGAGATAATAAAAAGTTGTATCAAAGATCCAAAGTAAGCAGATCATTAATTGAAATAATTATAAATGGGTTCAATGCTAATAGAGGAAACTCCAAATCCTTATAATCCAACAGTAGATTCTGGATAGTAAGTTAATATATTTGCAACACTTGTTTATGAGAAGAAACCTGAATAATAAGAATAGCCATAAACATAGAAAATACCAGCAAAGAACAACTAAAGAAAGAAAATCAAATCACACAATAGAATAAAATGGAAATTATATCAATGGGGTTGGAAATCACATTAATTTATATTTTAAATGAAAGAAACTTATCATAAATTGTTTCATAAATATTTGTTGAATCATTTAAAAGACCAAGAATTGAATTTATTTTTAATGGAATAGAATTGGAAGAATATTTGTTTTGTTCCATTATGTCCATTAAAGTCAGTGATGGTATATGAAGAGTAGAAAATGTTTAAACAAAGTGGAGAACGTCAAGTAGTAGATGGTATTAGTATCAAAGAATTTGAGGATTAAGTTATGGGAATTCTATTATCTGAAAATTATTAATATGTATAACCAGGAGAATAAACGGAAGATGAATATGGAAGTAAATTATAATGTTACAAGAATTAATAGAATTAATAAAATCAATAAAATTAATAGAAGCATTATCCTGCTAAATTTATTAAAGGAGGACATATTATCACATTGAATTATGAATAATAGAATTACACCATTGAAGAATATAATAAAAACAATTTGAAAGCAACTACAAAGATGCATAGATACATTTAGCTTTAAAATGATTCTGCTATTATTCCCTAACTCTATAGATATAATCTTCATGGTAACTATTCCATTACTTGTAGAGAAATTCTTTTCTAGGAAGGGATAGATACACATATAAAAGGATTAATCCGTATTTTTAGTGATTTAGAACAGACTTCTAAATATACTGAAGAATATATTAAAAATATGAGGCCCAAGAAGATTGGACTTGCTTATATTCCAAATGAATCCTTATAATAAGATAAGAAACTTCGATAATAGTAATATGATAAATGGAGAGACAATTTTAATAAATTCATGGAAAAATTAAAATCACAACTCAAATGTTTTAATACAGAAGCTATTCGAATTCAACATGTTTCCTCTTATAAAAACATGAAAAAAGATTTATCTCATTAACTCAATTTAAATTATAGTACTAGCTTACCTGAATATAAATCATAATTGCATAATGAAAAATATGAACAATTATGTATTACTGCTTAAGCTAATTATTGTCCAAAATGTATTTACAATATCAATTTGTCTTGGATTTCAAGCACTGCCTTACCCATCATTAAGGTAATTGAAATTATGGAAATTTGTTCTAATGGTTTTAAATAAGTTTAAATACCAGGAAATATTGATAGTATTTTCTAAATGCATCTTCCATTTGAATGTATCTCTAAATTCAAAGTCTTATCACAAGAAAAAATGAAATCTATCAAAAAACAACTTAGATATTCACCATTTGATTGTTTTTATGATAGATTCGATAATAATTACCATTTACTTGTTCACAGCAAAGGCTTATTTTTTTTGAAGTTTGATTTTAATGTAATAATATCTTAATTATAATAGGAACTAGAAATTTTGTTTAAAGAGAATCTATTATATAGTGAAGAGACTACAAATCAAAGAACTATCTAATCCATTTTTAATAAAATAAAATTGTTAATTAATGAAGAAAATGATAAAATAAAATTGTGATTTTTTAGTATTGCAATTTATTGCCTTAGATTTTAAAAATTTATATTTATAATACGTATTATCAACTAAATACACAATAAGAGTTTTGTTTTAATGTTGTATTAATTACTATATATATAAATGGATCAATTTACAATACCAAATGGTTTTAAATTAGAACCGTATCCTCCCAAATAAGGAGGAAATGGAGAAATATTTACGTGTAGTAAAGATGGCAAATTATATGCGATGAAAGTCTTTAGGAAAAATATTGAACAATATTTACATGAAGTTAATATATGCACAACTTTGAAAAGTCATGTCAACATTATTAAGCTAATTGATAATTTTCAATGGGAAGGTAATAGAGTAATAATCTTGGAATATTGTTCAAAAGATCTTAAGACATATTTAAATGAAAATCAATAATTATCAGAATTGGATAGGATGAACATCTTTACATAAATTGTTAGTGCATTTAAATCTATAATTGAAGATTTGAATAGTGTAGAGATGCATTTTTCACATAGAGATATAAAACCTGAAAATTTAATGTTTGGAGATGATAATTTAATTAAGATTATAGATTTTGGTGAAAGTAGAATATCTGATAATGATAATTAAATCCCCACATTGAAGAATTAAGTGTGTGGTACTCCAGGATATATGGATCCATTAATGGAATATGGAGGTGAAGGGTTTTAAGAGAAATCTGATTTATGGTCATTGGGAGCCACCTTATTTTATATATTAAAAAACTAAAGATTAGAAATAAATAGTAAAGAGATCAATTTGAAAGCTTTTAAAGTTACAGCTAATAAAAGAAAGGAAACTAAATTAGAACTGGTATAATCAATGATTAATGAATAATTGATTCAACTGCCATTTTCAGATTAATGTAAACAGCTTTTAGATAAATTATTGAAGGTAGATCAAAATCAAAGATATGGATGGAATCAACTTTTTGAAAATGAATTAATTAAGTAATTATTAGAATAAATACACCACCTCGGACAATATTAATAGAAAGTGGATAGAAAGAAACCCAAACCCATAAAATTGTCATATCAAATGAATAAAGACTTTTTATCGATGAATTTCAAGTAGTAAGCAGGTCCAATATTGACTGAAACATTATATGTTATTATAAGTAAAGGAAAATAGTGTGCCTCAACAGCTATAGAAATGTTTAAGTACTTTAATCAAATGAAATTTGTAAATGAGGATTTTATGAATAATTGGTAAAACTTTGAAAAATGTAATTATTTGTTACATTTGAGATCTCTCATTGTTCTGAATAATTACAATTAAATATTTACCTTAAAAACTCACAAGTCAGGTCAAGAGACTATATAATAATAGTTATTTGAGGATTTGACCAATGGAAATTTATAGAATCAATAGATATATGAGAGAATTCAGTTATAAGTTTATTATCTATTTGAAGATGTAAGAAAGAGTTTACAAGGGAGTGGTTTAGAAACAAGGATATTGAATCTAACTAAGTCATAATCAAAAGAAGTGAGCGAATATAATTAAACATTGGAATTTACAGAAGAAGAGAGAGAGTATTTTTAATATAAAAAGGACGATAAAAACAATATTAAAAATCGTCCTGACTATTATGATAAACCTTATTTTTATGAGATCTTCAAATCATATCTTTTGAAATGCATAAAAGTCTTAATAGATAATTACGATTAAGAAGGAATTAAGATTTTAAGTGACATGATTGTTTCCTATAACCTAGAAGAATTCTATAATAAATGCACATAATGCAAAATTTAGAATTACCTATATAACTAGAATGATCAGAACCAGGAAGTTTTTTATGCTAAATTGAAAGCCATTTATAATTCATTTATTGAGAAGTGAATATTTTCAGCAGCATTGCTTCTTCTTCTTCGATAAATCAGGTTGTGTTTCTTTCTTTAATACATAGACATCATTGATTCCTAATTGATTCTAACTGATGGGTTTTTAAGTTGATACAATTTTATAAATTTCTAAATTTAAGATGATAGCATATTACCTGTAACCATTTAATTAAATGCTAGATCCACATTGGTATTATTAAGTGCTGATGTCTCTATGTATCCAACCTTATTCTATTCACAGAATTAAGAGACTTCATCTGTTCTCACAATCTTTATTATTTATATTTAAATACTCTTTATTCTGCCAAATCTATTTTATTACCTACCAACGTAATCACAATATCAGGATCACCATATTATTTTATTTCGCTCATCCATCTTAGTGTTGATTCATATGTTCCCTATTTTGTTACATCATAGCAAACAAATACACCCTTTGCTCCTCTATAATAAGCACTTGTTATTGCGCGAAATCTTATAATAAATTCAATAACTCTTACTTTTCTTATCCTGCTGTATCCCATATTTAACACTTTATTAAATTCCCCTCTTATCTAACGGTTCGATTTATAAACTCTACTCCTATTGTTGGTCTTGTATCATATTAAAAGTCCTTATTTTATAATCTATTGAATAAGTTAGTCTTCCCAACTCCTGAATCACCTAATCATTGTATTCCAAATATACCAATCAAAATTATTTTGAACAAATAACTGAATTCATCGTCCATCATATTTAATTTATTATTATATTTTTATAATTAGATATTCCATATATAAATAATTCACTATTTCTTATTACTAAGTTTCTAGTTATTATAATTTTATTAAACTTCCTTTGCCTTCTATATCCAACCCTTATTCCATCTTTTGTACTCTGTTTCTCCTGTTGTATTATTGTATTTAATTAACTCCTCAACAATGACTTATGATTGTACTTTCCTCTTTTAAATAGATTTTCCTAGTATTTTTATAACTTCTTTGGATGAATAACATTCGCCAATTTCTATAAACTATTGAAAATTAATCATCAACTTTTTATATCATCAGTTTTATTAAATGGTATTTTCTCTCTTTTCACCTCTTTATTCTATATCTGATTTACGAAAATAGCAATTAATCTATTTTCTTTATAGTTTCATTCTATTTTTCTCCTTTTTATTTCATTTTAAGAACTATTACCTATAATAAATATCCAGTTCATATATCTCCAATTACTTATTCTAGAATTATATTAAAAAATTCTAATAAAAGCAAACCTAAAACTAAGCTTTATTATGCTCAAATATATACTTAACCATCTTTTAAATATTCTATAAACACTCCTAATACTTATATTCAATTTCTTAATGTTAATCTTACAATTAGATCAATAATACTTTTTTTATTGTTTTGTTTTTAGAAAGAGCTAAATGAATTTCAGAAAACTCTTTCTCCTTTTGTAATTTATTCTTTTTAAGTTAGTTCAAGTAATTATTCAAAATTAGTATTCAATAATTAAACAAATCTAAACAAATAACAACAGCCTAATCTTTAAATGTTTGAGGAATTAATTCTTAATCAATTTTTTAAAAAAGCTCTCTTTAAAATGAGCAAAATTAAATAATATTTACTACAATTTATCAATATTAATAACTTGAGAACTTAATATATTACTTAAATTTTTCATTAAGCTTTTGATCTATCTCAAAAATAGGAATTTCATTGAATTTGAAAGTTTTATTTGCTGTATTTCGAAGCTTTAATTGCTAAAATTCATTCATTTGACAATTAAAAATAATTAATTATTTTTTTAAATAAAATTTTTTAAGGTTGTTTTAATTGATTTTGATTGTATCAATAAAATTATAAAGTTTGAATTATTGCTCGATTTATTCTAATATGATGATTGGATACAAAAACTCTGTATAATTCAATTAATATATAAGTTAAAAACAAAGCTAAATTGGAATTAAATATTTCACAGATTGCATCTCATTTTCCAAAAGGCCTAAATTTGAACACTTATTTTTATATTTTGAGATTATTTTTATTGGACTTTATATCATTACATCAATTTTAATTAATATTATTTGTAATGGTTCTAATAAAATATTTGAATTCATGTATCACTTAAACTCTTTCAATCAATTATAGAACTTTCTTCTCCCAGTTATTAGATGAGAAATAAAAATTTCTCAATAAAAAAATTTTAAAAGTGATATATATTTTGATACTGGAGGATGCTTCATTAATCAAACATAAAAACATTTTTTTCATAAATCAATTAAAAACTAAAGACTAGACTATCGTATCCAATTATAGTTAGTAAAAATTAAGTTTTATATCTCAAAAATCAGATGCGCTTACAAGAAAAAAAAATTTACATCATTAGTAAAGAGATTAATGAAAACGATAAATTTAATAATAATAAAACTAAATGAGTGATTTATCAGTCAATAATCTTTATCAATAAGATATATTGTCACTTACAAAAAATTGATGTTAATATATAATTTTCAAAAGATGAAGAGAAAATATAATAAAAAATAATCACAAATAAATAAATAAAAAGGTCAATCAGTTGTAAATTAAAATATATGCTTAATTAGAATAAGTAGAAGATAAATAATTAAAAAAGTTAAAAAAATCAAAAGATGTTGGTTTATTAACGGAAACAGAGTAATTGGGAATTATAAATTGATGTGGGTTAAGAAATAAATAAATATAATTTATAATAATAAACCATCAATTTTGAGAGCTAATTTAAAGATTATGATGAATTTTTTTAATAAAGATTGACTTCAATTTATTGTGTTCTCGTATTAAACAGATAAAATTATTAAGGAATTAGATTGTTTATTAAAAAAATAAAATTTTAAAACCATATATTGAAAAGTATTTTAAATTGGTTCCATGCAAGGAACAGTTGAATAATACAAAATCTATTGTTATATTTATTTAATTTTTTAGTTTCTTTTGGATAAGTATCATTTATTTAAAACAATAATATGCTATATTTGAATTAAAAATTAAATGTGTTGATTAATTAAATTGATAAATGATTATTAGGATTTGAAGGAAAAAAGAAATAGATGAGAAAAAGAGCTTAGATATATTAGAATAAGTAAATAAACTTGGTTATTTTTCCTAAATCAAGAATTTGGTTGTACTTAATATTTTTGCCAATAATAATATATATATATATAGTCACCCTAATCTTAATGAGAAAGCAATAGTGAATATATTCTGATAAATATAAAACTTATTAGCTTATTCATTTTAATTATTTTATTCTAGCCTAGTTTTTTGTCAATTGTAGAAGTAAGAAAGGAAAAAAAATGAAAAAAATTTAAACTAAGGCTTAGTAAACAAGAATCAATTTAAATATATATTTGGTTATTAATGATATTATATGTTCAATATATACTAGTAGCTGATTACAATTTATGAAGTTTAAATTGTAATTCTTTACTGGATAAAGAAACCCAAAAAATCACCAAATATAGAACAAATTTAAATTAAATATACAAGAAGGCTCGAAAATTGACATCACGACATGTTTAAATTATTAGATCTTGGATAATAAGACCGATTAAATATAAATCTTTTATTTATTCGTTAAATTAATTCAATTAATAAATATATTTTATTTATTAAACTAATGCAAATATTTATATAATATATTTTAAATTTATTTTTTCCCATTATTACAAATAACTCTAAATCTCATAATCTACAAATCTTTGAGAGTTAAAAATTCTCTTCTTTATATTATTAGATTTTTAATCTAAATTTAAAGATACAAGATATTCTTTTACTAAATTTCTTTTCTTTCATTATGGTTTTGAATTATGGGGTATCTGATACTTCATTTCATTCACTTTCACATTATAAGGTATAAAAACAAAACTCAAAATATATTAATTAACAAATAAGCTTAATATGTAAATTTAAGTCCCTCTGAAAAAAACAGGTAAATTTGTTTAATAATTAAAATATATTATATAAATATTTGCATTAGTTTAATAAATAAAATATATTTATTAATTGAATTAATTTAACGAATAAATAAAAGATTTATATTTAATCGGTCTTATTATCCAAGATCTAATAATTTAAACATGTCGTGATGTCAATTTTCGAGCCTTCTTGTATATTTAATTTAAATTTGTTCTATATTTGGTGATTTTTTGGGTTTCTTTATCCAGTAAAGAATTACAATTTAAACTTCATAAATTGTAATCAGCTACTAGTATATATTGAACATATAATATCATTAATAACCAAATATATATTTAAATTGATTCTTGTTTACTAAGCCTTAGTTTAAATTTTTTTCATTTTTTTTCCTTTCTTACTTCTACAATTGACAAAAAACTAGGCTAGAATAAAATAATTAAAATGAATAAGCTAATAAGTTTTATATTTATCAGAATATATTCACTATTGCTTTCTCATTAAGATTAGGGTGACTATATATATATATATTATTATTGGCAAAAATATTAAGTACAACCAAATTCTTGATTTAGGAAAAATAACCAAGTTTATTTACTTATTCTAATATATCTAAGCTCTTTTTCTCATCTATTTCTTTTTTCCTTCAAATCCTAATAATCATTTATCAATTTAATTAATCAACACATTTAATTTTTAATTCAAATATAGCATATTATTGTTTTAAATAAATGATACTTATCCAAAAGAAACTAAAAAATTAAATAAATATAACAATAGATTTTGTATTATTCAACTGTTCCTTGCATGGAACCAATTTAAAATACTTTTCAATATATGGTTTTAAAATTTTATTTTTTTAATAAACAATCTAATTCCTTAATAATTTTATCTGTTTAATACGAGAACACAATAAATTGAAGTCAATCTTTATTAAAAAAATTCATCATAATCTTTAAATTAGCTCTCAAAATTGATGGTTTATTATTATAAATTATATTTATTTATTTCTTAACCCACATCAATTTATAATTCCCAATTACTCTGTTTCCGTTAATAAACCAACATCTTTTGATTTTTTTAACTTTTTTAATTATTTATCTTCTACTTATTCTAATTAAGCATATATTTTAATTTACAACTGATTGACCTTTTTATTTATTTATTTGTGATTATTTTTTATTATATTTTCTCTTCATCTTTTGAAAATTATATATTAACATCAATTTTTTGTAAGTGACAATATATCTTATTGATAAAGATTATTGACTGATAAATCACTCATTTAGTTTTATTATTATTAAATTTATCGTTTTCATTAATCTCTTTACTAATGATGTAAATTTTTTTTTCTTGTAAGCGCATCTGATTTTTGAGATATAAAACTTAATTTTTACTAACTATAATTGGATACGATAGTCTAGTCTTTAGTTTTTAATTGATTTATGAAAAAAATGTTTTTATGTTTGATTAATGAAGCATCCTCCAGTATCAAAATATATATCACTTTTAAAATTTTTTTATTGAGAAATTTTTATTTCTCATCTAATAACTGGGAGAAGAAAGTTCTATAATTGATTGAAAGAGTTTAAGTGATACATGAATTCAAATATTTTATTAGAACCATTACAAATAATATTAATTAAAATTGATGTAATGATATAAAGTCCAATAAAAATAATCTCAAAATATAAAAATAAGTGTTCAAATTTAGGCCTTTTGGAAAATGAGATGCAATCTGTGAAATATTTAATTCCAATTTAGCTTTGTTTTTAACTTATATATTAATTGAATTATACAGAGTTTTTGTATCCAATCATCATATTAGAATAAATCGAGCAATAATTCAAACTTTATAATTTTATTGATACAATCAAAATCAATTAAAACAACCTTAAAAAATTTTATTTAAAAAAATAATTAATTATTTTTAATTGTCAAATGAATGAATTTTAGCAATTAAAGCTTCGAAATACAGCAAATAAAACTTTCAAATTCAATGAAATTCCTATTTTTGAGATAGATCAAAAGCTTAATGAAAAATTTAAGTAATATATTAAGTTCTCAAGTTATTAATATTGATAAATTGTAGTAAATATTATTTAATTTTGCTCATTTTAAAGAGAGCTTTTTTAAAAAATTGATTAAGAATTAATTCCTCAAACATTTAAAGATTAGGCTNACATATTTAAACTGAAATTTTCATTTTTCATCTATTAATACTTTAAATAATGAATACAAAATTCATCATTTTTTCATTGTTGCTTGCCTTAGCAGCAAGTCAGACATATAGCATATCACCTTGCACTTGCACTTAATTATTATCAGAAGGTGATTGCACAAAAAATGCTGGTCTTGGGTGTTCCTGGGATAGTACTAAAAAATCTTGCGGAGTTTCAACAACTCCAGTCACTCCCACCGTGACCTATGCAGCATATTGTGATACATTTGCCTAATCTGATTGTCCAAAAGCTAAGCCTTGTACAGATTGTGGAAATTATGCGGCATGCGCTTGGGTTGAAAATAAATGCACCTATTTCACAGGGTGCACAGCTTTTGCAAAGACAACAAAGGAGGAATGCTAAGCTATTAGTAATAGATGTATCACAGACGGAACCCATTGCGTTGAAATAGATGCTTGTAGTACATATAAGAAATAGCTTCCTTGTGATAAAAATGCCTCTGGAAGTTTGTGTTATTGGGATACTACTAATAATACTTGTGTAGATGCTAATACTTGTAATAAATTACCAACAACTTTTGTGACTGATAAAGATTGCAGAGATGTGATTTCTACATGTACAACTTAAACTGGAGGTGGATGCATAGATAGTGGAAATAATTGCAGTGATTAAACATTAGAAATTCAATGTGTTTGGAATAAATTAAAAACATAAGCTTGTTATTGGGATGGTGCAGCATGCAAAGACAGAATTTGTGATAATGCCCCAACAACCTTGACTACTGATGATACTTGTAAAGCTTTCAGAACAGATGGTACATGTACAACAAAGGCTAATGGAGGATGTGTAACAAGAACAACCTGTGCAGCTGCAACTATCTAAGCTGCTTGCGTTAAAAATAGTTCAGGAGGAGATTGCTATTGGAATGGAACTGCTTGTGTTGATAAGACATGTGCAAATGCTCCTACTACAATGACAACTAATTCAGCTTGTGGAGGTTTTGTAACAGGATGTATTACTAAGACAGGAGGAGGATGCGTAGCCAATGGAGCCTGTTCAGTTGCTAACATTTAAGTTGCATGTGTTAAAAATTCTAGTAATGTTGATTGTATTTGGGATACAACATGCAAAGAAAAGACTTGTGCTAATGCACCAACTACTAATAATACTCATGAATTATGTACATCATACTTAGGAACTTGTACAGTTAAAACAGGAGGAGGATGTCAAAATAGAACCTGCACCAATGCCCCAATAACATTGACAACAAATGATGCATGTGATGCATATTTACCTGGAAGCAATTGTATAACAAAATCTGGAGGAGGATGTGTTGTAAATACCACATGTGCTTTAATTTCATTAGAGGCAGCATGCGTAAAGAATTCTTTTAGTGCTACCTGTTTTTGGGATATCGCTAGTTCCAGTTGCAAAGATAAAACTTGTGCTAATGCTCCATCTACTAACAATACACATGATTTATGTGTTGCATTTTTATCAACTTGCACAGTTAATTCAACTAATGCTGGTTGCGTTGACAAATCATGTGAAAATTCATTAGCCTAAGCAATATGTGATAAAGATTATACTAATAAAGCATGTATTTGGAAAGGAAAATGTTATAAAAAAGAATGTGTTTTAGCATCTTCAGCTACATCATCACATGCAGATTGTCAGACATATGATTCAAGTTGTACTTTGAATAATACAGGTTCTGGTTGTGTTCCAATTCCTCTTAAATGTGAAGCTATCACAATTGAAGCTGCATGCAATCTAAGATTATAAATTACAAGTGGAGTTAGATCCTACTAACCATGTGGCTGGACTGGGTCTTAATGTATTGATAAGGCTTGCTCTACTGCTCCTAAAACAATATCAACAACATCTGATTGTCAATCTTACATTTCTACTTGTGTAGCTAATAATCCTGTGACTGTGAGTGGAACATCTACTATTCAAGGATGTTAAGATTTACCAACTACTTGTGCCTTAAGGAGATCATCTGAAAACTGTGAAATCACAAGATCTGGATTCGTAACATGCCTTTGGAATACTGCTACATCTACATGTGTGGAAAAATCTTGTGCCACTGCAAATGTTACAACAACTCCTGGATATCTTTTAACTTTTGCTTTTAGTGATTGCATTGGTTATTTAAACACTTGTATTTCAAATAATACAGGAGATGGTTGTATTGCTAAACCAGCCAGCTGTTCGTCTTTAGTTTCTTCAAACTGTAGAGTTGCATCAAAAGCTAGTGGTGACTGTTATTGGACTGGTTCTAGTTGTGTCGATCGAACTTGCGCTAATATTCCTTTAACCACTCACTCAGCTTGTTAAGGTGCATTAAGTTCTTGCACAACAAATAATGGAAAAACAGCTTGTTAAACATTAGCAGCTGCCTGTACTTCTTATGGATCATCTGAAAATTGTAAAGTAACATCCACTAATAAAAATTGTATATGGACTGGATCAGCTTGTAGAAATGCCACTTGTTCAGATGCTTCTGACACTAATGCTTATGATTCAGATAGTGAATGTTCAGCTTACCCAACACCAAGTGAAACTTGTACAGTTTTATACAAAACTGGAAAGTTAGGATGTGTGGCTAGATCAGCAAATTGCAGTGACTATGTATCATCAGATTAATGTTATAGAACTTTGACATCAGCTTCAGATGATTGTACTTGGAATTCAACTGTTAACAAATGCTTTTCTAATACTTATCTCTAAGGTGCATGTTCTACATTTAAAGGAACATAAGCATAATGTGAATCATTCAAATTAGGTTGTACTAATACTGGAAGTGCTGTTGAGACAGATTCATGTACGTTTTCTTGTGCTAAAGTAACAGGATTGTCAGGAGCAAATCATTCAACATGTTAAGGATACAGCACTACTTGTACAGTTAATGTTGCTGGAGATGCATGTGTTACGTAAGCAGCTGCTTGCAGTACATACGCTTAAACTGATTGTACAACTAAGATTGGTGGTTTGAAATGTTTCTGGGATGGAAGTACATGTTTAGATATTACATCATCAAATTGTGATGCTGTTACTGGGGCAACAGGCTTAAATCACGCAGGATGTTAAGCTTTCAATACTGCTTGCACAAACAAAGCTGCAACAGACTGTCAATTATTCTAAACAACATGCAGTAGTTACACTGCTGGCGGTGCAGGCGCTTGTGTTAATGTTTAATCAGGTTTGAAATGTTTCTGGGATGGAACTGACTGTTTAGCTATTACATCAGTCAAATGTGATGCTGTCACTGGATTAACAGGTCTAGATCATGCAGGTTGTTAAGCTTTCAATACTGCTTGCACAAACAAAGCTGCAACAGACTGTCAATTATTCTAAACAACATGCAGTAGTTACACTGCTGGCGGTGCAGGCGCTTGTGTTAATGTTTAATCAGGTTTGAAATGTTTCTGGGATGGAACTGACTGTTTAGCTATTACATCAGCCAATTGTGATGCTGTTACTGGTGCAACAGGCTTAAATCACGCAGAATGTTAAGCTTTCAATACTGCTTGCACAAACAAAGCTGCAACAGACTGTCAATTATTCTAAACAACATGCAGTAGTTACACTGCTGGTGGTGCAGACGCTTGTGTTAATGTTTAATCAGGTTTGAAATGTTTCTGGGATGGAAGTGCCTGTTTAGCTATTACATCAGCAAATTGTAATGCTGTCACTGGATTAACAGGTCTAGATCATGCAGGTTGTTAAGCTTATAGCACTGCTTGCACAAATAAGGCAGCCACAGACTGTCAATTATTATAAACAGCATGCAGTAGTTATACTGCTGGGGGTTCAACTGCTTGTGTAAATGTGTAATCAGGTTTGAAATGTTTCTGGAATGGAAGTGCATGTCTAGATATTACTTCAGCCAATTGCAGTGCTGTAACAGGATTATCAAATTTAACATATGAAAATTGCCAAGCATATAGTACTGCTTGTAGTGTTAGAAGAGATAAAACTGGGTGTGTTACATAATAATCTTAATGTTCAGGATATTCAAGTGCAATGGTAGGCTGTTATAAATCAACTGCAGGATTATGTATTGCTACCACAAGTTCAGATACTGCCTGTGCAGCCGCTTCATCAGCAACCACATGTGAAGCAGTATTTTTAGGAACAGGTAATTATTCAGACGCAAATTGTAATGCTTTTAAGACAGGTTGTATTGCCTTAAGTACCACAGGATGCTAAACTAAAACATGTGCTAATTATTCAGGTGGCTATAATCATGGAAATTGTAATTCTTGGGTCAATACTTGTACTGTGAATTCTTCGAATACTGGATGCACAACAATGCCAGCAACATGTGCTGTTTAAACATCATCTAATTGTATTTATTCAGTTGAAGGTGCATGTGTTGTTGTAGGTACAGCATGTGTCAAAAAAACATGTGATACAGCAACTGCAGATTCAAGCTATGACTCAAATGGTGAATGTACTACTTATTTAGCTACATGTACTGTTGCAAGAACTGGAGGTTGCCAAGCTAGAGCTGCTTGTTCATCATATAAATCAAATCAATAATGTAAATTTAATACCAGCGCTGGTAAATGTTTCTGGAATCCAACAAATAAGAATTGTGTTGATTTGAATTGCGGTAATATAGAAGCCACATCATCATATGATACTCATACTGAATGTGTGGGAGTTGATGCAACACTTGCTTGCACTGTAAGAGCTACAGCTGGAGCTGCTGTTGCCGGTTGCATGGCAAGAGGATCATGCGGTTCTTATACAATAGAAGAGCAATGCCAAACTAATGCAAGTGGTGGAGTTTGTGTTTGGAACACAAATGCTACCTAAGCAGTATGCTAAGATAAATCTTGTACTACCGCCCCAACTTCAACTGCTACCCATAATGACTGTTATACATATTACAATACTGCCACTATGAAGTGCACAGTAGTTGCTACACCAGATACAAATGGAGGTTCACCAGTTTTAGGAGGTTGCCAATAAACAGCTGCTTGCTCAACTTATATTCATTAAGAATAATGTTAAATAAATGCTACAGGAGACCCTTGTGGATGGAATGGAACTTAATGCGCTGACAAATCTTGTGCTACTGCACCTGCAACTGCAGATTATGATGACAATACCAAATGTAGAGCATATTTCAACAATAAATGTACCGTTGCTGAAGCTGGATAAGGATGTGTTGAAATACCAGCTACTTGTGAAGTAATGACAGAAAAGTAATGCGTTTCTGATAAAAGTGGCAGATCATGCTATTGGACAGGAACAGCTTGTATTACAAGAACTTGCGAAAATGCACCAGATGCAACAGCCACTGCTGATGAATGCAACACCTATTTAGCTGGATGTACTTTAGATAGTGTTAAATGTAAAACTAAAGTCTGTGAAGATTTTGCTTTTGCTACAGATGCATTATGCAAACAAGCATTAACCACCTGCACAACTAATGGAATAAATTGTGTTACTAGAGGAACTTGTTTCTAAGCACAAAACGAAGCAGGATGTGTTACTTCCTCAACAAATCTATAATGTGAATGGATGCCAGCTGTAGGTGCTAATTAAGCTTATTGTACAATCAAAACATGCAATACAGCCCCAGTTACTTTAACTACAGAAGCAGCTTGTGCTAGTTATTTCACTAATTGCACAACAAAGAATGGTGGTGGATGTGTTACAAAGTCTACATGTTCAGCTGTTACTATTGATGTTGCATGTACAACTGCCCTTAATGGTACAGTATGCGCTTGGGATGCTGCATAAAATAAATGTAGAGACAAGGACTGTTAAGATTTTAGTGGAACAACTCATGCAGCTTGCTAAGTCTAAAAAGCTGGATGCACTGCTGGAGCTAATGGAAAATGTGCAAGAGTATAAAATTGTGAATAAACAACAATCAGAAGTGCTTGTATTGAAGGAACAAATGGACCTTGCCTTTGGATTAATGATTATACTAACAGCGATGGATCTAAGGGAGCTTGCTTCAGATATACATCATGCAAAAGTTTGAATTGGAATTCAGATTCTCAATGCAAATGGATAAGCAATTAATGCACAACAAATGGATCTAATTGTGTTGGAATTACTTTATGTTCCGAAACAAACACCGATGGTGGATGTGTGACAGGATATGACGGAGCCTGTATTTAATCAGTTCCTGCTTTGAATTCCTCTGATCCAAAGGTTTGCAAACCATACACTTCATGTGCAGATGCTTTCTACACAACTCATGCAGACTGCTAAGTTGCCAGTAGAAAATGCACAACTAATGGAACAACAGGATGTATTGCTTTAGGTGCTTGTTCATCATACACATCATAAGCTGGATGCTTCTTTAACGATAAAGGAGCTATTCTCACATCTGGAGCTATTACTTCAACTGGCATTTGTACTTGGGACACCACTTCAAGTAGTTGCAGAGATTAGACATGTGCAGATTTAACTGGCACAACCCATGCAACATGTTCTTCATAATTGTCGACCTGCACATCAGATGGAACCACATGCTTAGTGAAAGGAACTTGCGCTTCATATTCAACATAGACAGCCTGCACAACAGCTGTTGGATCAGATGGTATATGTTATTGGGAACTTGCATCAGCCACTAATAATAACACAGCCAAATGTAGATTGATGACTTGTGCTGACGTTCAAAATGGTACGTCAACAAATGTTTGTTTAGTTGCTTTAAGTTCTTGCGTTTCTAATGGAACTGCATGCATTTCTAAAGCTAATTGCTCTACATACACAACTAAAACAGCTTGCAATTCTGGTGGATTAGATGGAATTTGTGTATTCACTTAATCAACTGCTACTGGAGCAGCTGTTGGTACTGGAACTTGTGCTTTAATGACTGCATGCGTCACAGCTAATAATGATCAAACTGCTTGCCAAGCTGCAAGAGATAGATGCTCATGGACTGCTGCATCAGGAACTGGAGCTACTGCTGTTGCAAGCAAATGCTCTTCTCATACTTGTGCTACAAACCAAGCTACTAACGGAGTTTGCACCAGATTCTTGAATTGGGATAAGAAAACCTAATAAGTATGCACTCTAGTAAGTGGAGCATGTACAGCTACAGACCCAGCTACATTGTCATTAAATGATTGCTTCTTGGTTTCAGGTTATACTTATACATGGAATGCTTCCACAAGCAAATGTGGAGTATGCACTGCAGTTGTTGTTTAACCAAATAATACTTCAAATAACAATACAAGCACCACTGATAACACCACAACAACTGATTCAGGATACCTTCTTGGATTATCAACAATCTTTTTGGGTTATCTCATGTTTTGATGAGAATGATTTTTAAAATTTATATAGGGAAAATTATTAAATTATTAAAAAAATTTTCATCTAAAAGTCTATTTAAAAATATTTATCTGTTATAATTCTTAATTTCAAATTATTCAATAAAGGAGTATAAAATCTTTGGACAAAACAATTTGAAAAAAAAAACTTCTTCTCAAATATTACTAATGATATACAGACCAATACTTAATTAATCAGAACTTAATTTTATTAATAACAATTCTTAAAGGAATGAAATCATTGAAGCCTTAGAATTTCAGAAATTTAGATTAATATTTGTTCAGTGAAACAATTCAAGGAAATTTATTATTCTTTTTAATAATTTGGCTTTTTCTAATTTACAAATAATCTGTAAGTTACCATAAACCCGAAATTTTTTATATAAAATAAAAGAATAACTCAAAATTAAAATATGCTTAATTTTTCGTCAATTTCAATATCTCTTTTTTGCTAAAATTTGTTATAAAACTGAAAACATCTCATTCCCGCTGTTAAATATTTAAAGTATTTCCCTTTCTTTAATTATCAACATAACAGCTGTATAAGGAAAGATGCTGTTTTAGAGACTAAATTTTTTTTACATAATGCTATCTTAAATTAACTGCTATATATCATTTTACAGCAATAAATGAGGAATCTCCTAAAAAAATTTTTATTTTTTCAAAATAATGTCTCATCCAATAATTTGCTACACAATAAGATCACAATCGACCTGCATTCTATACTATTTAAAAGAGATTTCTGCAAAAAATATTTTTATATGTATACAAATTCTATGATTATGCTAGACAAAAAATACTTTTTCTTTGATGTTAAAAATTAATCAATTGCGTTTAATATATTTTAACTGCAAATTTGGTTTTAAATTTGAAACCTAGCATCCAAATTTTATTAAATATTGATTAGAAGTTCTTTCTAGGTTTTATATGATGATAAAGTATCTAATTTAATATCATCCTAGTTAATACTCCTTAAATTCCTAATTTCTATTATATTCTTTCTCTTTTCTTCATACTGATTCCCTTTCTCTAATTATCATGAAAATGCATCCAATATAACTGCACTTACTAAACTATATAACAAATAATTCAAACCAAATGCCATCAAAATATAAAATAATAATCCACACATGAATCTGTATAACGTGTAGCCACTTTCAAAATAACAGCTGCATCATTATTTGTAATTGTATAAAAACTTTCCTCCATGATCTTCCTATACCATTAAATGAATGTATTTAAGTTAATCTTTAAGGCTCATCGGATTTATTCACAAAAAATTGTAATCCCATTATTGCATACAACATAAAACATTAAAAATGTAATATTGATATAAGGTTTCATTGTTAAAAGGCAATCTTTATTACTCTTACAATAAATTTGTTAAAAAAAATCTGCAACATGAAGCTTAATATTGCTTAATTCAACCTGGCTTCAGGAAGATATAAAGCTAAGTGGATAAATTAAAACTTAAATTATTACAAATAAACAAGTCTATAGAACAAGTAGATAAGATTAAGAAGAAAAAGTTAAAATCAAAAAAAAATTGTCCATAAGCCTACAAAGTTAAAAAATGCATAAAGGTATAAAAGTTTAAATTTTATTAAAAAGACATAGGGGCATTGATAATAGCACAAACTTTTTCCTTTAGCTGAATTTGATTCTTT